TTTCGACAACTCAGCAATTCGAGAAGTCGAATCTGAGACAGCAGTCCACGCAGATGAGCTTTTGCCATACAACACCTCAAGCTGACTGTTAAACCCCCTTTGGCGCCTGTAATCTGCTGAGACTTGATCAATCATAGAGTGTAACTCCATGATCAAGTCTGAGACTTCTGGGGCTACAGCTTCAAAGTCGACAGCATTCAAGACCTCTTTCAAGCATGATGGAGCAGTGGGGTCCCCCTCTAAAGCCTTCATCAAGTCCCTCTTGAAGAACTGGGCCTTAACCTTCGCCAAAGCATCATCAAGGGGAGAAGTTTCAGTAGACTTCCCCGACAGGGTAGGAATTTCCTGACTAGCGTCAGACGAACTCTTACTCTCGATGATGGCATTGAGGTAGCTAACAGGGTCAGTTTGTTTCAAGAGTTCCAAGTCCTCTTTTGACCTGTGCTTCGAAGAGGTAACCCTTGCAATAGTATTATCTTGGGTTTGAGGTTCTTGAGTGTTAGGTGCCTCGACTGGTTGTTCTTCGACTCGGACTGGGGCAGTACCAGCGTCGACTTGTGGTTCTTCGCTAGCATCACCCTGGGGCCCTTCGCCAGCGTCATCTTGGTGTTCTTCGCTAGCATCACCCTGGTGTCCTTCGCCAGTGCCACCTTGGTTCTCTTCGTCGGCAGCATTTTGATTCTCTTCGCCGTCATTGCCTTGGTCCCTTTCTTCATGATTCTCTTCTGACAGGTCCACCACCTGAACCGTTTCTGGCTGTTGTTCCTCCACCAGGGGTTCCTCTGTTGGTTTCTCTACCGTTTCAGCATTGGCCTCATTCTCAGTATGGGCTTCGTCATTGCCCAAGCCTTTTTCCTGAGGCCTGCTAAGTTCAACAGATTCCAGCGTTTCTGAGGTCCTTGGCGGAGAACTTTCAGTAGTGTCCTGAAAAGAGAAGGAAGACAAACCTTCAGAGATCGAAAGAGACAAAATCGAATATGGGTATCTATACCTAAATTATAAAAGGGTCTAAGAGATTACCTGTGGATTAACTTCAGCCCCAGGGCTGGAATTGTCACTTTCGAAAGGCTTGTTAAGAAGAATGTTTAGTTCCTCCTCAGTTGGCTCCTCGATGATCACTGGAGGTGGCCTAGGCTTTCTCACAGCAACCTTTATTCTGACAGTTCGACCTTCAGGAACAGGAGCAGGAACAGAAGCATCCTTCGTCAACTTTTGCCTTTTTAAGGGGGCAGGAGGAGAATCACTTTCTTCATCACTCCCAGATTCGACCACCAGTCCTGGCCGTTTCTTGGGCGAAGGTGCCTAGAAAACCAATGGGAATTCGATTTAATAATTACATCGAAAATCAAAATCGAAAGCCAGAAGAAAAATGAAGAAAGTCTGGTTACCGATATAGAAGGCCTCTTCGAAGAGCCTTCCCCCTGTTGGTTGCCTGTGGTCTTCGCCGGCGCTGTAGTCTTCGCCGGCGGTGGAGGTTTTGTTGAAGGGCCTCCTCCCTGTTGGCCTTCTGTAGCCTTCTTGGCTACAGGCTTTCGAACAACTGAAAGCAAATGAAAAAGTTAACAGGCTAGCAGTCGAAGAGAAAGACAAAAAGTAATGTGAGAGAATGAACTTACATTTCTTTATTTTGTCCAACACAAGGACAAAAGACTTCTGCAACTCATCCATGAAGTCCTTCTCGTCGAAGAAGTACTCAGCATAATAGCTTCTCCACCACTCCTCGAAGGATGGTGAGCAAAGGAAATTGAGCTGGTAGTCAAACAGCGAGAGGATTGTTCGACCAGCATATCTTCCGATATGTTTAATGGCCGCTTCTTCTGTGTAATCATTGCAGAAGTACAACATGGACTTCTCTCTTTGAAAAATCGGAGAAGGTAGGGTTTGGATAATACCAAACTGGCGAGATACCAGATTTGGTTGATAGGCAATCAGACTCAAATGAGTCTTTGAGCTCTTGAATCGAAGAGGCATGATCCTTGGTGTAAGGAACGCCTCCCAAAGTATTGTATGCACATCGACATTGGGACCACTCGACGCCTTTGGATGTGGCCTAGTGAACCATGCTGGCCCCACCCGCCGTTGAGCAAATGGAGCCATAGTTGAAACAAACTCCTTCCTTCGAGCAAACATTAGAACGAAGTTGGTGAAGGTTTGTTGAAATTCCAGTCCATCGTCCGTAGGTGTCAGTAGAGCCAGCCTGATTCCTTCGATGCGTCTATTCGCTATCGCTGGAGCCTGTTCATTTATCTGAACTTTCTTGGGCAAGAAAGATTCGAAAGTGGCATTGAGCCACAGTTGGAGTAGCCAAAAAGGCCCAGCGAGTAGCAAACTGGCCCTGTCCTCGATATGTTTCAGAAGAGTTGCCCCATTGCTGATCGAATCATAGAGGCTAGCCAGAATCAGTTCTGCCAAACAGATGTTTTGGCGGTGATGCAGTTGAGTAGCAAGAGTGACCATCTTTTTGGTCACCTGCAGAGACTTCGAGCAAAACACAAAGCGAGTTAGCCATAAGGCTAGAAACGCTATGTGTTCGACATCCGACACAGCATCTGTCGACCTGTCATGATAATGGTTGATGAAAGTGGTGTATGTTGGTTTGGTCTCAGAGAAGCCAATTTGGTCCTCCGACATCTCCTCCGGATCGAAGTAATCCCCGGTTGGTCGAAGGCCAGTAATAGCGGCCACATCGAAGAGTGTGGGGGTTAGCATCCCACAGGGAAGATGAAAAGTGAAGTGGGAGTAGTCCCAGAACAACAGTGAAGCTATCAGCATCTCCGGGGAGTAGTTCAAACCCGTCTTCGACAGCATCACTAGGTCGAAGATTCCCATATCCTTCCAGATCGAAGTTTGGTGCTTCTCCAACTTTGTTAGCCAAGCAACATAATCGGAGGTAAGATTAGGGCAAGACCTGAAGACCCTAACACCTCTGTTGAAGAAGCGGAGGTCGATTTTTTCGCGTGCAGGGTCTTCATTGTCTTCTGCGTCTTTCTTGGCGCATGCTACTGGCTTGAGTTTCTCGACTATTGGGAAATAGCTCTTGATCTTCAGAGCTTCAGAGATGCTTGGATTCATGGGGCCAGACATTGCAAAGATCTGGTTGGAGTATCCAACCGGGATCATCAAGTGGCGTGAGTAGGCGTCGCGAACGGCGATGTCAGAAGGTTCAGGAACCCTTCGTTTGCCTGTAGAGTTTACTACCGGGGCAGTGACGAAAACCTTGGGTTTAGCATGTTCAGTTGGTGCGTTAGCACTAGGAGCAGTAGAAGCAGATGCCATTGTTTGAAATGAGGTTGAAGATGAAGTTAAAGAGGAAGAGTTTTCTGCAAAAATAACAAGCTTGTATGAAAACAGAGAAGGTTGAAAGGCTAGATGGCGTAAAAAGTCCCACAATGGGGTACTTACTACTATTTATAGTAGTGGGAAAAATCCCCAATAACGAGGACATTAAATGCCATTTAATGCTGCAGGAGTTAGTGGGACGCGTGGCAGCCCCCTGTTGTTTTGGCCGTTTCTGCAGAAATAGAGGGACACAGCGTGCGTCCTCGTTTTTGAGAATTGTCATAATGACAAATTCTGAAATGACGTTTGGTACTGCACGCCGTACTGAAAGTGACGTCCTAGGTACGGAACAATGATGGTTTCCTTGGGATTGCCAATAGTTGGTAAAAAGCAACAAAAAGTGCACAAGTTAATTTGTGACTAAGCGTGGAAAGACAGGTGTCGAATGGCGTTTCAAAGAATGCCTTTTTCTTTCAGAGTCGAAATAAGGCATTCTTGGGGGGCAATTTGTTGGCTCCTAAATTCGACACCTTTGTTTTGATTGATGTCAGCCATTAAAGCTGAAGGATGTCTTCGACTGGTTAAGTCTGTCGAAATGTCCGTCGAAAGATGGCAAAGTACTTAGAAGATTTCTTCCAAGGAAGAAGGCTGATTGCCTTCGACGTCGAAGGAGTTTCTCGTCGAAGATGTCTCTTGACGAAAGTGTTCGATGGTCCAGAGTGGAGCAGTTTGAAATTCAAGCGTTTGGAGGGAAAACGGTTTCCAGCAGTTACCACGTGCAAACGTGCAAGGATCTGGAGCGTCGAGCATGGAGAACGTGCCAAGTGGATTGATCTCGAAGCAGTGTAACTGCCCGACGGTTACTTGGGATGTTTTAGTATAAATAGGAGTAGACATGTAGTTTCTCGCGGGTGTTCACAATTCTATACAAAGTCACTCATATAGATTCGAGTACCCAGCGTGTGAGAAAGAATTGTTGAGAAATGTATGTGTGAAACACCAATTTTATCAATTAAAGTCCTTTACTTTTCCAGAAATTTACTTGCTTTCCTCTTTACATTCCTGTCGAAACCTTTTACTTTAAGCCTTGTTTATTTTACCAAGTCTTTCCTTTATGCAACTCATTTAAAGTCAATTTATTTAAAGCCTTATCCAATTCAATCAAACTTCAAAATCAACCTATGTCTTAGGATCAATCTGATCGATCCTGCGAGTAACCAAATAAGTAACCATTTGGAAGATCAGCGGTTGTTTACCAAAACCAAAGGTAAACACCTTTCCTTTCTCTATAGATAACTCCTGGGCAGTTATCACCACCTATCACCCTCAGAAATTTGTCCTTAAAGTTTTTAAAATTCAAGGTATACACTTGAAACAGGCCTCGACTAGGAGTCCCGACAAAGAAACCCAACCCACATTTCCAACTTCCTTAGTTTCATAAAAAGAAAGGAAGACACACATGGTATGGGTAATGCCCAGAGAACCAAACTGTATTTCAAAGGCTCTCACAGGTCCCCAACTATTAGAGAGAAATTATGAATAGGCAAGGTTCAAGGCGGTTAATAAGTTAGCCTCAAAATAATGTAAAATAGATTTCTACCAGTAGGGTGTCCAACAAATCCTCGCATAAGTAAAATAATTCGTTAGGAGACCCTTGAGGACGGTACATGCATACCTTCTCGTCGGGAATGTATGGCTCAAGAATAACATCACACTCTTCCCTAATATTCGAGATATATTCCTTCCCTAAACGTATCTATGTAATCTTGTCCAAAGCACAACGAGTCATACTTCCATATCGCGTAACTGAAAGACGCACAGGAGAGCTCTATGGTGATCTTGATTGAACCTGTGAAAGAAAACAATGAGTCAGTTTCATTATCAAAAGAGAGGTCGTCGATATCACAGTAAACCTCCATATTTATAAAATCTCAATCAATGTTACCTCCCCCCGACTTAAACAATTCCACATATTGATTCCACAAATAACACCTCTCTGAAGCAGTTGCATGGGAGATCGCCCTGCCCATTTCATCTCACTAACATATAACCACCATTCTAGAGAGAAATAGTAAAAAGTGCAACAAGAAGGGATGGAGAAAATACCTGAATAGAACGGATAAATGGCGTTTGGGAAAAAGGGGAAGCAAGGCAAGAAGTTTTGTTTCTGAATAACTTTTGAGTAAAGGAAAAAGATAAAGCAAGTAAATAAAGAAATAAAGAAACGATAATGGCGCTAGACTATGCGAACAGTCGCTAACTAGTAGATGTAATGATGGTGGTTGCTCCCAATCAAGTGTAATCATTACAGGGATACAAAATATTTTCCAAAAAGAAAAATCTAGACCAGTTTCTTTGTGGACACCCGCTTAGGGGACTATGTACATCGGGATGTATATCCCGGATTAATATGACACAGATATCACCACAAATATTTGCACAACAGTAAACTTAAGTGTTTCTCCGCTTAACCCTCCCGCTTGGGAGACTATGTACATCTGAAATGAACAATAAACTGAATACTACCTCATAAACCATGATTCGAACTTGAAGGACTATGTACATCTGAGATACATTTTGGACAGACACTCTCAAGACTATGTACGTTCGGGGTGTATCCCGGATTAGTATCTTTAAGATATTTCAAGATAGATACACCCAAGATTCCCACTCAGACCTTACCCACATACTAGGAAGCATTCACATCAATAACATTAAATATCCTTTATAAACACCCAGACAACAAGGAAACCGTCTTTATGACAAATCATTGGTCATTATAACAATAATTATGACATCATTATCCCACTAAGACCATTTACAATGGTTGAAAAACTCAACACCCACTTTTTCAACTCCCAACACTCCACATCATTTTCTCTTTCTTCCACCTAATAACTCAACACCCATTCAACTTTTACCCTCTCCAATGGTTTTTCACTCAACACCCTACCCCACCACTTTTTATTTTCATATTCTTATTTAAATTTTATTTTTATTTTTATGATTACATAAAATTACAATTATCGATTAAAATTAAATTAAAATAATAAATACTTAATAATTTATTTTTTAATTTTTTGTAATAAAAACAAAATTTATTTAAATAATTGGATACGATATAAATCATCTTAAATTAATTTAAAATACAACACACAATTAACGTAATTAGTACGTTACAAATAATTTAAAATGCAATACAACACACAAGTAACGTAATTAGTACGATACAAATAATTTAAAATGCAATACAACACACAAATAATTTAAAATGATTATTGGGATCCATTTCACTAAAAAAAGACACTTAACTTCAAAATAAACACTAATAATAAAATTAAGATAGTGAAAAACTTAGTTTTTTTTTCTGTGTCCAAATCAAATGAACCAAGTCTCTATTTATAGAGAAAAAAAAATCATGAATTTTGGTAAAAAAAAAAAAAAAATTAATTTGCAACGAAATAATTGAGTTCAAAGTATTAAATGAATAAAAATCTGGTCAGCCAACCAGCCGCTGCCACGTCAGCTCATGCGTCAGTGTACATGGTGTTGAGTTTTCTCAACATCTCTCTCCTCCAACACACACTCAACACTACTCTAAACACACCATTGCACATGATTTTGCCATGTTGAGTTCAATTAAACACACCATTGCACATGGTCTAAGAGAGTCATTATAAAAGGTGGATCTCTCATAAGTGAAAAGGAATCTAATATTGATTAGAAAAAACCGTAACTCACTGCGATTTCTCTCGACCAACATTGGAGAAGTTATCAAATATTATTCAAATATCTAAAAGAACTTATGCATTTTTACCGGATCTTCTGAAATATCCAGTTGAACGTTAGAGTTTTTACCAGACATTTTCAAAATATCCAAAAAACTATGCATTTTACCGGATCTTTTGGAACATTTGGTAAAAATTCACGAAAAATCTAGAAAAAACTTTAAAAATGCGGTAAAAATTGATACTCACTTGTCATCAAATGCAAATGTTTAGTAGCATGTCTGAAATATTCAGAAAATTGGAGAATTTTTTAAAAAAATTCAAAAATTTTACAATTGTTTTTGTGAAAAAAAATATAAAGTAGTTCCAAGTTAATATGGTAAAATCATAGGCATTACAGGGGTGCCAAGTACAAATTGGGGATGATAGAAAGATTCGTGTATGAGTTACAACTAATTATTTCAATTAATGAGCATATATGAACTTCTAATTTTACTAACCTATTTTAGGAAAGGTGATAAATACAATTACAATGACATATTAATTCCTAATTCCCAGCTCAACACTCACATTTTCATGCTATGAGATTCCTTATTCACAACAAGTTGCAACTTAAAACAAGCACCTGTCAAAAAACCCTTAAAACAAGCAGAATTCACCCGTTATACATGTTTGATAATGTTAGTTAATGTCAGTCATAACACAATTTCATTTTCAACCGGACAAAATCAATATGCTACTTACAATATGCTTTAATCGAACAACCTACAATATGCTCAAATGTCAAACTTCCACCTTCAGTCACTTTGCATCAAATTACAGATAACGTGATATATCTATTATACATGTATGGAAAAGCTCATGGTTCAATTCTAAAAATAATTGTACTACCATCACATATGCCTGGGGAGTTATATAAGCTACTTGCGGCAAGTATCTATATAACCGTGCAAGTTTGTAACTAATAGATTGCATTGGCAAAAACAGAAATATCTATGTCAGAGGGTAAACGTACTGTTAAAGTGGAATTTGATTAGAATCAAGATCTTTTGGATACATGGACATTATACACAAACCATAAGGTAGAAAGAAATATATAGCTAAGAACACAAGAACACCAAGATCAGCTTCTTCTCCAACCGCTGGACGACGTGGATTGATCCAGTATATCTGAGTTATACACCATAAGCCGTATAAAGAAGCTAAGGATATCATAAGTATCATAGAATGATATGATTTTTTCTTTATTGAATTTGAGGAACTTGCTCTGCATGGCAATGAAGCAGAAAGAAAAACATGTCAAAACCATGCTAATTCTAGAATATAACTTAATATTTGACATGAAAAGTTGCAATAACAAACACCTGTTTAGATAGAAGAATCCACCAATTAAGCAAGCACATAAGAAGCTCACTACAACAACTGCATCCGGGTTAACTGGTGCTCTACCTTCCCACCAGCCAGTGCTCAAAATCCAAGTGTACATGGTTGTTTTCCCATTCTCCTATAAGATTGAGAGTTATAATAAGTTTCAATGAGTTTAAGAGTGTAAGTTTTTCAGTTTTTAGTTTAAGGGTTATAACAACATGACTACAGTCTACAGCATTTGGCTGACACCCTTAGATGACTTGCAAACTAGTAAAATTTAGTTTCATCCACAGTTTCTTGCCTTAGTTTCCATTAAAACAAAAGCCAATGACAATTATACCTGTAAATCTAGGTATGCAGAACTTGAAAATCTACTGTTTTTTACTTCAAAATTTATACAATGAAAAAAGAAGAAGAGGATAAGACTAGAAAAGATATATCAACCTTATGCGACTAGAATTAAAGGCAAACCAAAGTTGAAAGCTACAATATCTAGTACTAGTAGAATAGCAGTTAAGCATGTTGATTGCAAAACTGTAGGGGAATAAAAGCTTTCTTGAAAGTTGAAATAAAGGTACATGGCATAACCATGGACCATAGCATTTGTCTTTAAATCTAAGGATCATGAAGGAAAATGAACTTGGAAGCTTGGAAATGAGAGGAAAATCTCAAAAGGATCATATTGAAAGACATATTCATTGAAAATTACCCAACTAACTACAAACAGATTCTAACAAACTAACTAGTTTTCTGTAATACATCTCCATTCATATATTTAAACAAGATTTCAACATATTCTTCAAAATTATACTATTTAAATTAAATTAATTCTGCATTATTGGTTCATTATAGTGAAATCACAACCCCATTTAAGAAGGTTAGCAATATTAAGATTTAAGAGTAAGAAATGTGAAAACAATTTGACATGCCCTAGTTGACAAAATTGGCCATAATAAACATTATATGCATGAATACTTGAAACCGCTTGAGCCATATATGTTACTATTTTGAGCAGATTTCCCTAATTAGTGTATAATAAAATCAGCTAAAAATGTAGAAAGAAACAATGAATAATACCTCAAAGAGATGATCTAAAAAGAAGTGAGTAAAAGAGCCGGCGGAAATCAAGAAAAAACACTGCATCTTTGTAAGAGGCACCTGCAATACATAATATAAAATTATTGAGTAAGAATAATAGATGAAACAGTGAAGAAAATTGAAGGTAATGAATCACCTTGGGGAGAGAAGAATGAAGTAGGTGTGAATGAAGAAGAAAAGATGAAATCTTGGAGTAAAGAAAAGAGAGAGGAATTCCTAAGATAAGGATGTAGTAGAATGGATGGTGGATGAGATCGGCTACGGCGGTATCAGCTGGACCACCAAGAAGTGAGCCGAGCCACTCGGAGAAGGAACCAATATCAGGTCCAAAGAAGGCGTTGACGGTGTAGGTGAGTGTGTGGTGTGGGCTAAATCTGCCGTTAGAGATGGCGGTTAGACCCAAGCCCGAGCCCATGGCATACATCAGGTGAGGACCAGGGCCTGGCATAGTAACAAACTTTCTTTTTCAATTTCAGCTGCAACAGCAAGAGCAATCACTCTAGATGAAGAATAGATAACTAGTTGTTCTGTCATGTACTGTTCCAGTCTTGAAAGAGTAAAGGTTGGTAGGTAGTGGGTGTCTGTGAGAGAAAGTAAACTCATTCTAACTCTGTTTAGTTATTATGTTTATTTCTGATTACCTCCACCGCTTTGACTTAAGTAACTAGTTAACTAACTCTCTAACACACATTAATTAAGTTATAAGAAGTAATACTATATTTTGTTTTCTTAACTAAGACGCAACTAGGATATAAGAAAACTCTATGCTATTCTAAATACTAATATATTCATCTCTTTAATTAGCACAGTTACGTGTTGTTTACCGTTGTTTTTGGTAAACAACCGCTGATCTCCAAAAAGTAAGATTTTTGGTTCACTTACGAGATCGATCAAACTAATCCCAGAACATATGGTAATCTTTATGTAAAATGCGTAAGAAGGAAGAACGCACGTTCGACCCAGAGAAAGGATGTTTGAGATTGTTGAAAAGTAAGCAAAAGCATCAAAATGCAAGTAAAATAAGTAAAAAGATAACTTTGCAGGATAATGGTAAAGTAATGTAAAAAGACTTTCATTAAGTAAAAAAGGTGTTTCTAACGTACATTGCTCCGCTTTTATCTTTTCTCACGCAGTAGTTACTTGGATAATATTTGAGAGATTTAGTACAATAAGTTGAATACACTTAAAAATTACACAAGCTTCTTAATTTATACTAAAAGTAGGTAACCGTCGAGGGGACATTCTGCGCTAGGATGAAGACAAGTGTCTTCTGCATGCCTCTCGACCCGTAGCTTTTTGCCACGTTGTCGCTTCTCAGACACTGATGAAAACTGTCTTTCCCTCCAATAATTCAAATTTCAAATGGTATTCGACTCCTATACCAAAGCGTGAACACTTTCCCTTAGTCGAGCAACATAATTCTGCTTTAGTCGAACGAGCCTTTGGTCGAAGCTTCTTATCATAACTTAGATCTTTTTCCTTAAGTTATCTCATGCGTCGAATTATACCTCCAGGTTTAGTTCAGTTCCAGTTGTTTGGTCAAAAAAGACCAAATATAGTAAGTGTCGAATTTGGGAGTCAACAAATTGCCCCCCAAGAATGTCTATTTCGATGCTCAAAGAAATAGCCATTCTTTGAACTTCCCATTCGACACCTGTCTTCCCAGTTGTCCACCAAGCTTTGACGTGTGCTTTTTCGCCTTCCGGCAGCTGCTACACCTAGTAAACCCATCATTACTTTTCTCCAAGATGTCTCTTCAAAACTGTTGTTACCATGCTTGCCACGATGGCCATATTCCTATAATTTAGGCAAGCATGTCCCAACGTTTCCCAATGCCTGCACGGTAACCGTCTCACGCTTTTCCACGTGCTCCACTACCTGCGAAACATTAAATGCCCTTGACGAGACATCTCCCACTTCTGAAGGCTATAAATACTTCCAAGCTTTTCTATTTGGAACTTTTATCATTTCCAGCTTTTTCAAATCCCTTGCATTTTCACAACATTGTACTGTCACCTTCGCTCTTTCTCTTAAGTCTTTAACAATGGCCTTTCTCTCTAATGCTCCAAACAATCCTCAACCAAAAAACGCTAATGATGTTCAGAAACCACCAGAGATCTTTTCCACCAACCCTTATTCTTCCTCGACTAACAGGTACATTGCTGAACCTATGAGAGAATGGCGAGAAGCCTATGATTTTCAACTCCTTATTCCCATTAGATACGGCGGAAACATGTATGCTATGTCTGGTCCGTTATCTTCATGCGTCAAAGATACCTTAAAAAACCGTGCCTTTTTTCCTACACACCCAAGGCTTAGACCCATAGGTTGTGCCAAAAAACCTAGGGCAGACCCTGAAGACGCTAACCGGCTAACCAACAACATCCCCAAACAACTGATGATATCAACCTCTAGTTCATGAACAAAGGGAATCAAATCTTTCGATCAAGCCCTAACCTTTCTTCTGAATACTCCGACTGGTTGAATAAAATGAAGAGGGTGCAAGCTTCTGTCTGGAAGGAGATGGGCATCTATGACTTAGTGATGTTGTCGAAGACAGGATTGCCTTACTGTCCTCTTATGTTGATATCCTCATTGTACTTTTGGGATAGTGCACATTTCACTTTTCATCTTCCTTGTGGAATGATGACCCCTACTTTGTTCGACATAGCTGCCATCACTGGTCTTCGACCCACCGGTGGCTATTTCGACCCTGAAGACTCGTCTGAGGATCCTATTGGGTTTGCTGCTACCAAACCAACTTATACTACCTTCATAAACCACTTTCATGACAAGGCCTCAAATACCGTGTCGGAGGTGGAGCACATAGCCTTCTTGGCCATGTGGCTGTCTCGATTTGTTTTCTGTACTAAATCGATGCAGGTGACGAAAAAGATGTTGACGCTTGCAACGCAACTCCATCACAAATACCCTTTTTTCTTGGCCGAATTGATTCTGGCCAACTTATATGAGTCCATCAGTAATGGTGTGACTCAACTTAAGGTTCTAGGAGACAGGGGAAGCTTGCTGCTATCTGGTCCCTTTTGGCTTCTGCAATTGTGGCTTAACGCCACCTTCGAATCCTTCCTCCCTCAAAAGAACAAGATTAATGAAAAAGCTCCTGAAATTTTGAACAGGAGGGTCGAAGGCACCAGGTTGGCATTGCTAACTCCCACTGATGAAGGCCAACAGTTTCAAAAGGCCTTTACAAGCTTCGTAATGATGTTTGCAGAGCGAAAGAGCTTTGTTTCGACTATGGCTCCCTTTGCCAGTCGAAAAGTTGGCCCGAAATGGTTCACTAGACCATATCCTTCGGATGAAGAGGGTGACGTGACTGATGAGTTCGTGTGCATGTGGGAAGCGTTTCTCCACCCCAGGATCATGCCTTTAAGATTCAAGAGCTCGAAGAACCAATTGAGCTTAATTGCTTATCAACCAAATCTTGTCTCTCGACAGTTTGGCATTGCTCAATCACTTCCTTCGCCTATTTACCCTCGAGAGAAGCTGCTACTTTTTTATAATGCAGATTACTCAGAGGATGCCGCTACCAAGCATATTGGTAGGTATTCTGGTCGAACTACACTGACCTTGTTCGACTTTAACCTTCATTTTCTGAATTCTGTCACTTCTGAGACGTGGTGGAAACATTATTATGAGGAAGAGTTCTTCGATGAGAAGGACTTCGCCCACCATCTACGTGAGGCATTCAAGATGGTTCTCGACAGAGTCAAAAAAGGTATCCCTTTTTCCATCCCTTCGTCTTAGATTTGTTTTTCAACACCTAATTAACTATAGTTGTTTCGCCTTCTGTTTAGCTGTCAAGAGGGTTACCTCGAAGAAAACCGCTGAGAGTACAAAAGGGGGAGACTCTGCTATCAACCCCTCTCCTAAGGTACTTACCTTTCCTTTTTACCCTTAGTTTTATCTGACATAGTTATTGATCTTCTCGACTTGGTTTTCTATATGCTCAGAAACCAACCCCCCAAAAGCGGAAGGTTCGGGAAATCCAAATCTCTAGCGAAGAAGAAGAGGAGTCTCCTCCTGTTCCTTTGCAGAGACGAAGATTGAAAAAGCCAGCTCCTGCCGTCGAAACTCGTCCAAAAATTAGGATTAAAACTACAGCTGGGAGGCCTCCTCCTGTAATCATCAACGAACCTACTGAATAGGAGGTGATCGCTAGGTTAAACAATCCCAGCGAAAGTGATAACTCTAGTCCTGGTGCTGAAATCCCAGTCTAGGTATTTCTTCGACTGCTTATTATTTACTTCTTTCACTCTCTTTTACTTTGTGATGATTCTACCAGCAATAAATTCTTTCTATTTTCCAGGACACTGCTGGCACTTCGACACGAATTCCTACTCATGTCGAGGATTCAACCACTTGCTTGAATAGTGACGGGAATCCTACCTACAGACCCTCTTCAGTGAAAGGCTCTTTTATGAGTTCAACTGACGAAGTAAATCAGACTTCTGAACCCCAACATGAAACCATAGAAGAAGCTGATGAAGAAGAAGAAGCTGAAGGAAACCAAGAGGAGATTAGGATTCCTCTGGTCGAAGTGCAAGAGACTGAGGAGGAAGGTATCCCTGGCATCGAAACTGAAACAGAGAGGGAAAATGCAGAAAAACAGTAGTTCTGAGTATGAGGAGGTTTTAGGGGTGAAAGGGTCGTGATTTAGGCTTGTTGGGAGGTATGGAATTTGTTCACACAGTTCTTGTAAGCTTCTGTTAACAGATATGAGAGACTGCTTATGTTTTGCCACTTTTCTTCTACTTGAAGCAAGAGAATGGAAATGATGTTATAGCCCTGTACCAGCCCTCCTATCATGCTGCAAATTTTTGTTCTTGGTTACTGGAATTAGTGGACTTGATTTTGCCTCAAAGATCTGGCCCCATGCCTCAAGGATTTGGTTTTGACATAAAGTGAAGTTTAGGCAAAAATGGCATTGTTGCTTTTTCCTTTTAAGGCTTAAACTAAAGTATAATGCCCTAATGACCAAGACAAAACCTTAATACAATGGATATGAATTAAATTAAGGAGTACAAATTGGTTTTGAGGCCTGTAATGTTGAACCAAGCTAGCTAGATCAGAATTGCAAGTTGTTATCAACATGTATTGGCCATGGACAAAAGTGAGTTTTTGCCAACTTCAAGCATTCGATTCTCTCTAACCACAAGGGTGTTTGAGGAGTTCTTGGACAATTTGGAAAGCTTGGAACATGTACTACAATCCATATTTGTAATGCAACTTGAAACTCCAAGTGGAACTATGTGAAAAATGGCCAAGAAGATGGGTCAAAATCCTGCCTAGATTAGGGCAAATTTTCTCTAAGTTAAAAGTTTTAGGTACCCTTGTTCCAAAAATCATAACTTGAGATACAAGCTTCTTTTGAGAAAACTTTGTGAATCAAAGTTGTAGACTTTGTGATGGACTACAACTTTCATGTTT